TTAAGAGCTCACTCAAGAGTTTGAGCTCTGAGCAACAGCGGTTCGATTCCCAGCCCGAGCTGAGCAGCCACTGAGCTGCCAACAGGTAGCAGGATGGCTCAGCTTAAAAAAACAAACAAACAAAAAAAACCCCCTAGTTTTCTTAAACAAAATGCTTTTACAGATATAAGGCATGAGATCTATAAAGGCAATCCTTTAGAAAATTCCCAAATTCTTTTGGCTACAGGTATAAAATATATGCTACAAACTGGGCACAAAAAATTCCTTTAAAAATGTCGCAGTCCATGATGGGCCAAGTTTTATTCCATAACTCATTTGGATAAACACTAAATTGGAATGACTGTCAGCAAAAGAGAGAGAGGGAGAGAGAGAAAGACTCAGAGAGAGAAGCTGAGAGACACCGCCATACTGGGCTTTCCAGGTCTTCTTTGAGTTCCCTTGTAGTACGTGGCTTGGAAGAAGCATCAGGAAATCCAAACACTCAGCTAATAATCCTGGTGGATGTTGAAAAGGCCATGCACTTGTCACAATTGATAACTTACTCCCCTGACAACAGCTAGACTGAGGACACCACAGTGTTGTTTTTCATTGCTGAAAGGCAAACAACTATTGGCAAATCCTAATTTATCAATAGGCAATAGCCCTGGTCTGAATTTGTTTTCCAGGGTATAGGTGATGAAGTGGTGCCAAAATGAAGACATTCCCCTTCATATGTTTCAGCGTAAGGGCGGAGCTTACACACCATTTGCAATAGACAGAGGGATTAATTTTTTGCTTCTTTTTCTTCATACCGCTTTCTTAGTTCCCAATGCTCCTTTTCTCCCGTTTCCAGTCGTTCACTTTGCCCAAAACTCCTTTAGCGAGATCCCATCTGGTCCCCAAATTCCTTCAAATGTAAAATGAACTTTTCCTCGCAAAAATTCCTAACAGGATATTAATCTTACAACAACCAGGGTAAAATAATTTATACTAATGTGTGATGGATAGTCCCATAATCATGAGTTATTTGTGTTTTATAAAAAGGATGATTATTGCCAAAATTAATATTATAGAATATAAGACAGTGTTACAAGGTATCAAGTAAATATAAGCTTTTCTTTTTTTTTTTTTTAAGCTGAGCCATCCTGCCACCTGTTGACAGCTCAGGGGCTGCTCAGCTTGGGCCGGGACTTGAACCGCTGTTGCTCAGAGCTCACACTCTTGAGAGAGCTCTTAACCAACTGAGCCACTCAGCTGGCCCTAAGCTTTTTTTTTTTTTAATTGAGGGAAGGAAAAAAAGAATAATTGGGCTTTAGAGAGATTAGCCTTCAGGGTCTGCTCCTCTAAACTGACCTGTTGGTTTTTTTTTTCTTTTCTAGATTCATTCCTTCCTCAAATTTTGCTACCATAGCTTCTCTACCAACTCCACATATTTTTTTGTATGTTTTTACCCAGAAAGGTTCTCATAACAACAGGGTCTCTGGCAACAGAGACAAAGCTGGTGTGGGAGAAGGCACAATTTGGGCTTATGGGTCCTATTAGCTAGAAGTGAGCACATTTTGTCATCTGAATATTGATTTTTCAAAATAGTTACATTGCTGGCCGGCTGCGTGGCTCAGTTGGTTAAGAGCTCGCTCAAGAGTGAGAGCTCTGAGAAATAGGGTCGCCGGTTCGATTCACGGCCTGAGCTGAGATGCCACTGAGCTGTCAACAGGTGGCAGGATGGCTCAGCTAAAAAATAAAAAATAAAAAAAAGCATTTACATTGCTACGACTGCATAAAAGCCTGACCGAGCGTTAGGAACATGCCACTTGACATTATTCCCACCTACAAAAACAAAGCTAGATACGGGTAGAACTTGAAATATGTCAGGGTATAAGTAAAAAAAAAAAAAATGGTTGTCCAAACTTTCATAAATATGTGACTCCCATTCCTGTGGAACTTGAAAGGGTTCATAGGAGTCTACACGCTGCCATGTAGACAACTGGCAAGAGCTGTCACTGCAACCCCAGCACAGGAGGAAGCTTGGGAGAGGTTAAATGTCACACCCATAGGGAGACAGTGCTGAAACTACAATCAATGTTCTGACTCCCACAGCAACTCCCTGCAGCCTTTCCTGGGCCACCTCCAGATATCTCAGCTTTTAGTCTACCCATTGCTTGCACCACAGATGTGCACCAAAGCACATTTTAAGTTGCCAGCATTTGGATTTGTTTTTGTTTATTTGACTCTCCAACGCGGGTCCTTAGATTAGTAGTTCTCATTTCAAATCTGCTAATAAAAAGAGCTTCATCTTCTCTGGGCAAGCCAATTTTGAAATTTGGCTGATTCTTGATACCAACAATTCAGCTGGGATAAACTTAGAGTTTCAAACCCACACTGCCAGTCACTATGTGATGACTTTGTGCAAATAACCCAACTTCCCACAACTACAGTTGCCTGTCGACAGAATTCTTGAGACTAATAACACTAACCTGATAAAGGTGTTTTTATGATTTCACAGTAATGTTCTCTCTCATCTGCATTATTACAACAGCCTCACATCTACTGTCTGACTTCCACCCTTGCCCACCTTTTATCTATTATCAACAGAGCAGCTAGTTTGGCCCTGTTAAAACATAAATTCTCAGGGGCCGGCCGAGTGGCTCAGTTGGTTAAGAGCTCGCTCAAGAGTTTGAGCTCTGAGCAACAGTGGTTCGAGGCCAGCCCGAGCTGAGCAGCCGCTAAGCTGCCAATAGGCAGCAGGATGGCTCAGCTAAAAAAAAACAAAAAAAAAAAAACAAACAAACAAAAAAAAACATAAATTCTGTCACTAATAACGTCCCCTCCCCAATGCCTTCTCATTCCTTTCGGAGTAGAAGCCAGTTATTCATTGGCTTACATTACCTGCCCCCTCGGTGCCACCACTCTTGTCCTGGATCATTTTGCCCCAGCAACTCCGGACCCCTCACTATTCCTCAAACATACCAGAAACACTCCTGCCTCGGGGCCTATACACTTGCTGTTTTCTTGCTTGGAAAGTCTTGCCTTACATAGTCAAATGAATTGCTCCCTCACCTCCCTTTAGGTCTTGATTCAAAAATTATCTTGTCAGAGAGGTTTTCCCTGGTTCCTCTATCTAAAATCACAACCCACTCCTCTCCTAATACTTCCTCTTGGTGCTTTCTTTCTTTCCGTAGCATCAACTAACACGTCCTGCATTTACTTAACTGTGTTTTATTGTCTGTCTCTCCCACTAGAATATAAGCTCGACGTCAGCATTTTGTTCAGTCATTAACTATGTGACTTTGGGGGGGGGAGTGCGGGGGGGGGGGACTTCTCTGAACTAGAGTTTATTCATCTATCCCCAGGATAGCCTTTACAGCAATGCCTGACACACAGTAGGCACTTAATAAATGGTTATTGAACCAATGACTGAATCTAAAAGAGCTTTCAAAATTGTGACCATTGAAGCATGGAAAAGGATGAGAAGAAGAGAAAATGGAAAAGGACGATGTTGGGAAAGGAGAGAAAAACTTGTGTCCGAGATACTCAGATTACAATGATATGGAAAAAGAGAGCCCAGCAGCAGAAGAAACAGAGGGGAAGTTGTTGTCTCATAACTGAGAAGCCCAGAAAAGACACAAAAGGAAGCACGAGAAGGGAGGCTGTTCTTCACTGTTCACTCGCTATTCACCAGATTCAGCTAGTTTTGTCACGAGCTGGGCAGTCCTACTCTTAGAACTGTCGGAATCAGCTTCTAATCATCTTCTCTTCCAGTCCAGCTGTTTCCTCAAGGTAACCATGGACTTGTGAGAGGCCTAACGAGCATACACATATGCGGAGTGATTGACTCTAGGATGCCACTATTCATTATGCCCAGCTATTCTTCATCAACTTCTGTTTTCTTGGGAACCTGATTTGAACCTATTTGTAATGTCAAGAACTAAGAGAACCACTCTGGGGCATGGCCACAAGCTGGATTGTTATACTCCTCAATGCACACATAGTCACACACAAACATACCTCGCTACTACACAATTCATAGATTCCCAATCTACCTGCAATGCAAGGAAGGGCCAGGGAATTCTACACCTTTTCCACCCAGATTCCAGTGAGTGGAATCCTTTGGAGCAAGAGGGAATTTCCAGCATCCATGCATGTGATGCTGTCTAGAGTCTTAGATGAAAACTTTTCCCTTTTGGCTCAGCCCCTATTATAATTTTTACTTTTCCCTCAAGGGAGCCATTTTTTCCCCTGGCACCCCAGCCTTGTGAGAGCTATTTTGAGTGTCAGGTAGGTTTTGTTCTGAGATGCCTTTAAAGGTCTGTGCTGAACAAAACAACATTCACTTTGCAACCTTCTTGGGAATTTTATTTAGCTAGAGCCTCCTCATCCCAAGGATTTAAAAACATATTGGAAACTTTAGTTCAGGAATCAAAACAACTCTCCAGAGCTAAAAGCTAACGCATTTGCATAACAATTTAACAGATCCAAACAACAGGGCAAGGTCAGGTGAAATAAATTGCCAAGGTCATGATTCTCTCAAAGAGGGATTGAAATTCAAAATTGCTGATTCCCAGTGCTTGCTCTGCCATATGGATAGCTCTCCTACTCTCTTAAATGCTACTGTGGCATAAAATAAATTTACTGTATGTGTGGAAACCACTGACCTGCCCTTAACCCCTTCCTTTCTTTCTAATACAAGATCATTCAGATCATGGAGGAAAACCTCGTATCATTACCCACAGACCTCACTATATTACCATAAAATGAAAGAACTTACTAGAAACAGTGATACGGAGGGTTCATGGTTTAAACTAGGAAACGCTGTTGACTTCTTGAAACGCAAAGCATGTTGAATCTCTTTAATGTCTTGATCAAATGATTGCTTCGAATTCACAGTTTTAATTCTGAGAACCTAAACACATAAGGATCCTTAAAATCCGCCAAAGGCCCACATTGCCAGAGAGACGGAAGCTGAGGAGATTAAATGTGTAAACAATTCTTGCTTTAATACCCTTAGCTTGAAATACCTTTAAAGCGACACATCGACGAGAAGAAGCTCGTTCAAGTCACACTCTTTGAACTTCTCCCGGTGAACCACTGGATTTCAGACGCCTCGGGCGCAACTCCGAATTCAGGATTCTCCACTGCTCCGAGCCCTCGCCCTAGAGGTCACAGGGAAATACGGCAAACGACCACTCCTAGCCTTTGAGGGGTGAAGGCTTTCCAGGGACGCGGGAAGCGCGGCCGGGGAATCTCACCACCAGTGGGCGTTTAGCGCAGCCAAGCGACGGGCTGGTGCCAGGGCTCAGCAACAGGGAGGCGCGGCTGAGGCGGGGAGAACTTTGCGCTCCGAGCAGAGCCACCCTTTGCTGGCCAGTCGCGTCGCTCCTCCGAGGAAGCAAACGGCGGCGGCGACTGGGCAGAAAAAGGACGAAAGGAAGAGAGGAAGTAGCAGGGAAGAAGAAATATGAAGCCAGCGCTGGGGGAGCGAGCAAGGGGGTGGCGGGCCATGGAGCGAGACAGCTTTGGCTTCTTTTCCGCATCCCGGGCGTGAGTGAACGCCTTCCCCTGCGCGACCCCAAGGAAATAAGTGGGTCTTGCCTGGGTGGGAAAGGAAGCGAAAAGAATCCAAGTGAGCGCGTTGCCTCCTCGGTCGCCGTTGCCCCCTAGGAACTCCGGCTGCCTCTCAGCCCAGTCTCCTCGCGGGATCCGACGCAGTGCCCGAGCTGCCCTGCAGATGGGGCGGGCAGGGAACGGGCACCCCAGCCGCGGGTGAGCGGCGCCGGCCCGCCCGCCTGCCCGGCTCCGCGCAGGAACCGGGCGGGCAGAGGATGCGAGGCGCAAGGACCCGGGAGCGGGATCTGAGACTGCCGAGGGCACCCTAGGCTCCCATTTGGATGGCCCAGAGACCGCTACAGCTCCTGGGACTGCTTCACCGCGTCGAGTGAGCTGCGCGCCGGACCTGGGGGCGGAGACCTTAGGCGGCGGCTGCAGAGGGGCGAGCCAGGAGCTGGAGGGGGCGCGCTTTCTCCCTGCGGGTCTCAGTAATGAGGAGACTGAGTTTGTGGTGGCTGCTGAGCAGGGTCTGTCTGCTGCTGCCGCCGCCCTGCGTACTGGTGCTGGCCGGGGTGCCGGGCTCCTCCTCGCACCCGCAGCCCTGCCAGATTCTCAAGCGCATCGGGCACGCGGTGAGGGTGGGCGCGGTGCACTTGCAGCCCTGGACCACGGCCCCCCGCGCGGCCAGACGCACTCCGGACGGCAGTCGGGCGGGCGCCCAGCGGGATGAGCCCGAGCCAGGGACTTGGCGGCCCCCGGCGCCCTCGCCCGGCGCTCGCTGGTTGGCGAGTGCCTTGCATGGCCGGGGGCCGCCGGGGGCCCGGAAGCCCGGGGAGGGCGCCGGGGCCGAGACCCTGTGGCCTCGGGACGCCCTCCTCTTCGCCGTGGACAACCTGAACCGCGTGGAAGGGCTGCTGCCCTACAACCTGTCTTTGGAAGTAGTGATGGCCATCGAGGCGGGCCTGGGCGACCTGCCGCTCCTGCCCTTCTCCTCCCCTAGCTCGCCGTGGAGGAGTGACCCTTTCTCCTTTCTGCAGAGCGTGTGCCACACCGTGGTGGTGCAAGGGGTGTCGGCGCTGCTCGCCTTCCCCCAGAGCCAGGGCGAGATGATGGAGCTCGACTTGGTCAGCTCCGTCCTGCACATCCCAGTCATCAGTATCGTGCGCCACGAGTTTCCGCGGGAGAGTCAGGTGAGAGGAGGCTGGCGCGTGGCGTGGAGACGGGCGCCGCTGGGGGGCTGGGACCGTCGCAGCGGGCGGGGGAGGGAGATAAAGGGGACGGGGCTTTACAACTTTGATACTGTTTAAGGATCGGACCACAGCGGTAGGTGGTAGGTAAAAGGACCTCAGTAGAAGTGAAATAAAACATTTTAAGCGCAGAACGAAATGAGAGATAGAGATAGAGGTAGCAGATGGAAGGAAGTGGGGAGAAGCAACGACAAACATCTTTCTCCTTTGGTCAGCGGTTAGAAACCTAGTGGATGCCCGACGGAAGTAGAAGTGGAAGTTCAGGATGTCGGGATGCGATCGAGGTTTTAATGACTAGCGCGGGGGTGGGGATGGGGGATCCCTGACTGCGAGGTTTTTTTTCTCTGCCATGAGGAACTCTCAGAGCTTGGGGCTGAAAGAGCAGCATCTGTTCTCTCTCGGACTTCTCTAGGTGTGCCTACGCCTTAGGCGACGGTGTCAGGAGGGAAGCGCGCGTCTCTCTGAATTCCTTTGAGTAAACAGGAAATCTGCAACGAGCTCAGAAGCGATAGGTGAAGAAGACGGGTTAATTAGTCTTGGGTACATGAAAGCATTAGAAGTATGATGTGACAGCGTGGAAATGGATGGGATGAATCATTTGGGTTTGTTTCTTTGTCCTCACCGTCTTTCTATGTGATGTAGGCTCAAAGCCTGGCTGTATGCGTTTGCTCTGTTCAGCCCATCTCTGCTCCAATTATCTGGAAGTAGAGGAAGAAGAATGAAATGATTTAGTTTCCAATGAGTTAAAAAATTAAATATATTTTTCAATAAAAGAAGCTATTTGTGAACTTAACTGTTGACAGTAATGATGAGATAACTATTTAAGGAGAGGGTGGAGTCCTTTAAGCAATTTTAAGAAAATTAAGGAATTTTCTGCATTATTTTTATCGAAATATCAAGCTGCATTAAGCTTTGCAGAAAGTATTTATGAAATGAATAGGTAATTGGTATTGGCTCCATTAATTTAAAGAGTGAGAAACTAAGGAAAGTTCTGGGGTTTGACCAACGTTGGTCAGTGTACTAGTAAAAGAGCCCAGACACTGGAGAATTTCTAACTCTATGTCATTTTCACTCTATGCCTTTAGCTGGGGGGGGGGGGGGGGGGAATATATATATATATGAAAATGAGTAAGGGCAAACATCAAAAGTTTGATAGCATCTATGCATAAAATATCAAGAGAGTACTAAAGATTCATTTTTCTAGAAAAAGATGAATCTTAACATTTTTAATCTCAGGCAAGGCAGGCACAAGCTACTTTCAGCAGTTGCCCAGAAGATTCCTATTTAATGCTGAACTACAGAGATTTGATCTGCAGAGTGCAGGCTAATTAACTTTTATCGAAAATGTTCCTATCACCTGAACCTGAATGACTGTAGACAGCAGATGGGAAGGCATGGGAAACACAGGTGCACAATGCTGCCAATCACCAACGTGTTATAAACATGGCATTGCATCCGTAGTGTGCATCATTATTAATATATATGCAGAATCAGAGCTAGTGAAATGCAAGAGTCAGCATCCCTTGCTTGTCATCATTGCTTCTTTATTATCTAATACTCCATAAGTTGCCAATAGTGTTCACAGTCTCCAGGCTCCTCTCCATTTGTAGATTGTTTGGCAAGAATCTTAAATAGCAAGAATCTCCCCTAAAATTAGTATTCCTTAGTTAGAAGGGGCAGTGCCTGTGTTCCATTATGGATATGTGCAGTAGATAGCACATTACAACAAGGGGACCAGAGAAACCATGAAGCAGCATCTAGCATCAGGAGACTTTGAAGCTCTAGGACCCAATGGGGAGAACCAAGTCCCCCAGGGACAACCTTTACAGGCAGACAATAAAAGAAATACTCCGCCAAGCCCATTTACTTCTATATTTCAATTCAGAAATTTCTTTTAAATCACTGTTGTCAACTTACTTTCATGACACACATCTAGAAAGGGAGAGATTATTATAGTAACTCAGATCTATTTTACCCAACTGAGAACATTTTCTTTCATTTATCTTTGTATTTTAAATTCAAACATACCTAACTTGTTGTACTTTTAATATGTCATTTAAATGTCATTCTATAATGTTCTGTAGTAATAATGTCCAGCTCAAAGCCAAGTCACTGTGATATGTAGTTTTAAGATAGGACCGTTACATGCTTTCACAAAAATAATAACTGGTCTTTCCCTTGCTTCTCCTGAAAAGTTGACCTTTCTCTAATACCCTGATATGATTTTTAAAATACTGTGTAACTATAGAAGAATGTCAAAGTCATTTTACACATTACATAAAATTGACTTAATTTAGCCACTGTCCTCATGAGAGCCTATTGCCCAATGACCCAAGTTGTTGATTGTGTCAGTGCCTGAATAAGAATTCAGGAAGAAAGTGGACTTGTCCACACAGCCAAGTAAAATAAAATTGTATTTCTTATCCAGACAAATCAAAATTGCTTTTAGAGCAGGAGCAACAACAGTGTTTTTTCTCTCATTTGAGCTGCTGACTTCTTTCATACTAAGCCTTTAATTCTTGAATAATGGTTTTGACAGTATCCTGCCACAACTCCTGAATGGAAGGCGATACCACTAAAACGATCAACCCCCTGAGAAAAGCATAATAGTTTTATTTCAATATATTGTTTATTCAGAACTCGTAAACACATAGATCATCCGCCTAGGAGGAATCAACTTCCTTCAAGCAGGTAAATCCACTTAAAGTAAGACAGTTAACTACCCACTTTTGGAAACCATGTGTGTATTATCACAACATAATAAAAGCTTAATGCAACATTACACATAGGATAGGCTCAAAGCATGTTTCCATCCAAAAAATTCTGACTTTACTACTACAGTCAAACTTCCAGTTGAGGCTAATTCATTTTATTTATTTATTTATTTTTATTTTGTTGGGGAACAGCCGTGGTCACTGATTACACATTGCTTTCATGCTACAATGGCATAGTTGACTCATTTAGGGAGGGCTCAGCTCACAGTGGCCCATGCGGGGATTGAACTGGCAACCTTGGTGTTATCAGTGTGACGCTATAACCAACTGAACTAACTGGTCTCCCAAATTCATTTTATTATGATGATCACTTCTTAGTTCTAAATTCTATTCCTATGCCCTTCAAATAATGATGGTGCACATGGAACCAATTACATTTACATATACGTCACATTAAGTTCCTATAGTTCTTTCTTTCTCTTTTTTCCCCATAGTACTTTTTCTTCTAGGAGTTTTGTGTAGTTTCTCCAAAGTTCTTAAAATTTACCTGCTGAGGTAGTGATAGATACACATTCCTTTCTAGAATGTTAATCTCATGTTAATTCCATATTGGTTCCATTAGGCATCGTTAATGAGGTAATGTCATTGGCTTAGATCCAAACTTATGCAATTAAAAAGTAACTACACTATTTTTAACTCTTGTTGAATGTACCAACCACAATTTGTAAATCTCATGAGCCATATATACTAACTATAGTTAATATATGTTTATTCCGATAGGGATATAAGTGTTTTAGATGGTCTGTTTTCTTTTTAGAAGGCTATGTATGGAAGCCTCTTTATTTAGAACTTGGCTAGCACAGAACCACTTTTATATGATACCACTATATAACTTAGTGCTTCACGAGGGGACAAGTGAAGGACATTTATTTTAAAAACATCTGTTCTCAACTGTATTGGTTTTCTTTGACTTACTGTATGCTAAGTAAGCACTGCTCTCTCTCCTCTGGAGGAAATGTCTTCTTCTGGGATTCATGATGTTTGGCTGATAGTAGCACCTAATTGATGCTGACTTGAAGATAAACAATTTCAAATTAACAGTCAAGTGCTGCAAAACTTTTCTCAGCAGTGACCTTTTATAGGTTCTCTTGAAGAACCAAGACATGGGACTAATTTTCAAGTTTTTATTTTTAATTTGGGAATTTTTCTTTACAATATTAATTTATTTTTCTAGATAAATAGCAAAGGCAAGACTAGCAAATGCTGTTCATTGGGCAATTAATCTGTCTCACCAGCTTTTCTTTGTGCCTGCCAGTGTAGTGATAGAATATTTGGTTTTGATCTTCTTTGACTATTACATCTTGAAATTAACTTATGATTGAATCAGCTGAACTAAATATATGAATCATCTGAAGACCAATTTCAATATCTAATTCCTTAATGGATTTTGTGCCGTTAGATTTTATTTCATGAATATCCCCAGTTAAATTGCAATTATGTTGGTTAAAAGAGCACAGTATAATGGAAGGTATATTAAATAGTAGTAAAAAAAAACTCTCAGTCAACCTCTGTCTCTTACTGGCCATGTAATCTTGGGCAAGCTTCTTTATCTCTGAACACCTGTATCAGTCAAAAGAAGGTACCTTACCAATCCGACAGAGTTGTTGTGTGAATCAACTGAGAAAAGTGAAGTACTTTGGAAATATTATTAGTGTCAGCCAAATGCCTAGTAGAGAGGTGGTTATGATCTGATATGAATCATCTAAGTCTTAGTTCTGCACTAATTCTCCATTAATGGTTACTAATCAAAATGGGATGTGATTCACAGTGTAACATGTCTTCATCCTTCTTCACCTTACTCTCTACCCACTCTCTCATTTTCTTTCTCTTAAAAAAATTAAGTGGATTTACCACCACCACCCTTCCCCCGCAAATAAAAGGGGGAAAATAAAAGTGAACTAGGTTCCCAAGTAGATTGCATACTTGCCCAGGAATAGAAGACATGCCATAGGTACTGTTTCTGTACCAATGACAACTTTTTCCCTATGGTACATCTAACACAGTTTCTAGAGCCTTAGGTATTGCCATAAAAGCTTCAATAAGATGCCCAGGGTTTTTCAGAAATGTTGGTCTCTCACTTCAGTCATAAGATTTTCTTATAGGCAAACTTATAGTAGATCATTCATAAGGTGATAGCTACAAAGTCTAACATCTCCACCCCCACTCCAC